CATATGGAAATCCATCAGATAGCCTTGTGAAGACCCACTGGGATGCATATTGTCTGATGGGCCTAGGCCAGAGAAGCAGAGTGGAGCCTGTGTGGTACTACGGAGTGAGAGTGGGGGTGTCCCTGGAGCTGCTAATTTGGAAGGCAAAGCTCCGCCCTCTAGAAGCTGACAGTCCAGTGGAGGAGAGGACAGTGCCCAGCAGTAATAGTGCTGCTCCATGTGGTGCCTGGATGTGCACTCTGTGCTGTAGAACCACTGACCCAAGAGAAGGGGCCCCACCCAGGTGGTGGGCAGGGGCTACACAGGCAGCTTCCTGGAAGAAGCTCTCAGGGACAGACAGGCAGGAGGTAAGGCAGGGACAGCCATTGGGCGGAAGGAACTTTATGTCCAAAGCTGGAGTTGCAGGAGGGAGAACCCCAGGGAGTGACTGAGCATGGCAAGGGGGACAGGGTCCACGGCAGTCATAGGGGAGCTCACATTCAGGACACGGGCCTGCCGTCCTCAGAGTGAGCCCAACAAGCCACAGATAATGCCAGGAGGTAGGTCTGCTCTCTGGAGAGCCTGCTCTGCACAGGGTGAACAACACTTCACAGGAGTAAGATAGAAGGATATTTGGAAGCTGTTATAACAATGCAGGCAAGCAATGGCAGGCAGTAGGAGAAGGGCAGCATATGGGGAAACATACTTCAGAAGTGGAATCTGGTTTGTAACCAGATGAGAGGAAGGACTTAATGATCTGCAGGTTCCTCCAGTGGTGTTTGTGGGACGTGGGCCAGGTAAAGGAGTGGCAGCAGCTGAGAGGGAAGTGGCCACGGCACTGCACTGTATGTGGCCAGTGAGCATGGAGTGTGGCGTGGCCTGCCCCTCTGCTCAAGCCCCACTCTTTCTTGTGACACATGTGCACAACAAAACAATCATAGCAAACAATAATAAGCATTAATAAAAACAAAAAAAATGCTTTAAAAAAATGATACAGCATCTTCCTTCTGAATCCGTAAATCTCCCCTCCCTAATATGATTTGTTGTCAGGGGCCTCGTTCTTTGGGAAAGTGTGCGCATATGACATCAGACATTGCCCAGATTGCCCAGACAGGCCCCTAGTATGCATCTCCTCCACATACAAGAGTTGTGTGTATTGGCGTCTGTAAGACCAAGTGCATAAATACCAGTGAGGTTAAATACAGCTTCACAAGGGCACTTCCTAGAATGCCTTCAGACTTTATCACCTATGAGCTCAGCATGCAGCAGCCAAGAAATCATTCATTCATTCAGCATATGTTCACTGAGACTCATCCATGGCAGCCCCTGTACAGGCTGTGGGAGGTGAACACAAAGACAGGACAGGCAAGGGTCCTTAACTACAAGGGAACTGCCGGGCAGTCAAGGGTCCAGGTGTGTGTTCAGCATAAGTACCCCATGCTGCCCGCAGAAGCTGGAGACATTTCAGAGAAGGTGACGTTTGAATTGAGTCACGAAAGAATTGAGTCACGAAAGAAGAGAACATGGGCCAGAGGAAGGTTGGCGGTTCTGTCGGAAAATGTGAAGGATCAATGATTTAGTTTGGCTGGAGCCTAATAGCCGTGTTGCCAGGAGGGGAGGGAGAATACAGAGGTTAGGGGAGGCCTGTGTTTGTCAGGTCGATGCTTTGGCTTCCTTCAGAGTCCAGTGACAGAGCAAACATTTCTTTCTCTTTCCCATGGAAGTCTAGCTGGAGGTCTGGAGTAGGAGGTGGGCTTCGTGAAGTCACCCAGAGGACCCAGGCTCCGTCTTGCTTGTTGCTCTAAGGAGGCACACTCTTCCCATGTGACCAAAGCTGACTTCTCATCACCACACCCACATCACAGCGAGTGGCATGGGAAAATGTTAAGAGGAATCAAGAGTGCCAACAGTGGCCTTTTAAGGATGTGCCTCAGAAGTTGCACACATCACCGCCATTCACATCCTCTTGGGCAGAGCTTGGTCACAGGGCTGCACCTCCTGCACAAGAGGCAGAGAGGTGCAAACTGTTGAGGTGGCTCTGTGCTTTGCTAAGCTTAGAGCTGCTGTTTCTAAAAGGAAGAGGGGAGGCTGGCTATTTGGAGTCAAAGTTCCTGCTACAAGCCAACTCTCAAAAGCTATTGTTTGCCACCCTCAGAGGTTTTAACTTTATCCTCAGAATAACAAGGAGCCATAAAGTTCTGTATGCTGGGAAGAGCCGTGATTACAGTCAGGATTTTAGCAGGCTCTTCTGGCTGGGATGTGGAGAATGGGCTTGAGTGCCAAGAAGCAGTTTTGGGCAGGCTCCAGTAGGGAAGGGCTGGTGGATGGAGGCTAGATGATGACAGGCTTAAGTGTATCAGAATTTTTGAACATGGTCACCAGAAAGCACAATAGAACAAAACAAAAAGACCATGATCTACAAACTCTAATGGCCCAGTAGAAAAATTGGTTCAGAATCTGTTCAAGTAGTCTGTGTATTTTATTCATTATTCAAAGAATTTGTATACCTACTCTGTGCCATGATTCTAGATACCAGGGTTGCAGCAGGGAACAGCACAGTGACATCTGCTCTTCTGGAGCATGTATACCAGTGGGGTGAGATGCACCATCAACAATGGAACAAACTAGATGACTTCAGATGGTGAGACATTCTAGATAGAAGGACCACAAAATATAAAGTCCCTGGGGCAGACACAAATTTGGTTAGGCTCAGCCAGAAAACCAGAGCTGCGGAAGGAGCATGAGGGTGGGGATGGTGAGGGCCTGGTCACGTGGGATCTGGGCTTTGTTCTAAGGGTGGTGGGAAGCCATTGTTGGTTAGTTCTAATCATTAAAGTGATGCAAGCTGCTCTGTGCTTAAAAATTATTAATCCAGCATTTATACAGACTACAGGGTGAATGGTAAGAATCATGGCTTTAAATTGCATGAATGCTTATTACGTGTATATGGGAGCAAGCATAAATGAAGCCTGCGTCCCCTCAGGTGGCGGGGGCCCAGGACTCAGGTTTGTGCCAAGTCAGCATCCCAGCCTCCAGAGGACCCTTCCTCGCTTGGGTTTGAGATCCTGCTCCAGCCCTTGCTACTTAAGTGTGGCCCACAGCCTCAGTGTCCCCACAAAACTACTCAGAAATGCAAATCTCAGACCCCAAACCCACACCTGCTCAACCATATCTTCACTTCAACAAGACCCCAGGTGACTCACACATGTTAAAGTTTCAGAAGGGCCAGTGGTATATCTTCTGGTTAGGGTGTTTGTCTCCTTCCCTCTGTATGCACATACCCCCACCACCACCACACACACATACCACATACACACACCATACATCATATTCATACACACATAACCTTCCCATGTCCCCCCACACATGTACTCACATAGCACACTGAATTTCAATACAAGGTACAAGCTCTACCAAATGACCTATGGATGGGATGTCTGGACTAGCTCAAAATTTAGGGATTCTGGAAGATGGGCAGGTGCCACATGAGTTGGATTTGAGGAGTTTGAAATTTATAAACAAAGAACCTTTGGAGACTCATTTGGCAGGCACTTGCTGTGTACACAGTGGTGACTTAAGGAAATTAACCTGACAGTGATGAGTTGCAGATAGAAGGGGTAGGAAGGCCCCAGGGGCAGACAGTCCAGGAGCTGACACGGAAATGTGAATGGACTGTCTCAGTGGATATGCATGACTGCTCTGGGCTTTGTCTCTTGTATTATTTTAAAAATATATCACACTCCAAATCTTCTGTAATATATATCTGTTATCTTTGCAGCCAAGATGAAAAAGCCAAACAGAACCTGTCTAGGCTTAGTATTGTGTGGGCCAGTACTAGGAGGGGACTGTGTAAAACATAAGGGGGGATGCTCAGTGTCCAGGGGCTGCTCCTGCTTAGTCTCTAAGATTCCATGGGAGCCTCTCCTCCTGTCTGCAGACTTAGGGTGAGCCCCCTCGGGCCTTCACCATCAGCATCATTAACACAGAACACTGGCTGGGTGTGAAGAAGGCACTCAGGAAATGCTTATCTGAGGCTGAAGAATTCATACTACAATGGACAGAGGACGTCAAGTCTGGATAGCTGAGTGATCAGTGGTGCTTTGAAAGAAATGCAGGATCTTGGGGTGGCAGCCAGTTTGGGAGGAAAGGTCTGAGACTGTTTTTAGGTATCCTGGCTTTGTCATCATGTAAGGGAGACAGCGAGTTGTTGCAGGGGACAGAAATGAAGAAGGCCAGTGCTTTTTCACAAAATAGAACTGATCTCTCCAAGGCGCACCGTGACTGATTAACCACTCCACAGGCCTTCCTGTTTGGGTCTCCCAGGGGTTCCTGGAATCAGATTAGGCCAGCCGGAGGTACAGAGCTCGAGAGCCCTCCATTCCTCATCCCTAAATTTAGTTGCTGTGGGTTTGGACCGGATGTGCTGGCAGGTTGCACATCTGCACTGCCTGTAGGTCAGCTCAGCCCTGAGGGCTCAGGGAGGCCCCAGGAACCAAAGCAGTTCCCTGCGAGTCCTCCTTGGACGGTCAGTAGGGCTCTGACCGGAGCAGCAGGATTCCAGTTCTAGTTTTCCCTGCTTCCTCAGTTTGAACATTTGTCATCTGGATTCAAGAGCATGTTCCATCTCGTTTGATTCATATTTTGAATTAGGAAAAGTTCTTACTCTGAAATATAAATTAAAATGCATGGGGCCCTGTGGGGCAAACATCTTTTCATTGGATGATGTTTCAAACTCTGCAAAACCACTTTTTCTTTTCCTTCAAAGAATTTGTTTAACAGGTAAGACAAAATAACTTCAAGTGAGTCTATCTTCCGTGCAAGAAGAATAGTGGGTGATTAAGGATCCCTAGAAACAGAAACAGGTCTTGGGTGCAGCATTGAGCCCAGAAGTCCTGTCAGCATGGGAGGAGGTGAGTGGTCCACAGATCCCCACTCACCACCTCTCCCCAGGGCAGCGCACCCCACCCCACAGAGGAGGAGGCAGCTTGCCAGTCTAACCTACCTGCCATATTTTACTTCAGATCATCAGAAAAGCCCTTTCTGAGGAAAAACATGTCTCAACAAAAACATCAGCTGCGGATCTTGTGACAGAAACAGATCACCTTGTGGAAGATTTAATTATTTCTGAGCTGCAGAAGCAGTTTCCTTCACACAGGTAGGTGTATCCCTCAGGGAAACACCCCAGCATGGTGACACATTCACAGAGAAGGCTCAGGACTACATGCTGGTCGATGGCAGTAGACAAACCAGGAAGCCTCCCGGTCTGCCCCCCAGTATTGCGATTGTGTGGCTGACAAACTGACCCTCGTTACTCTCTTCACCATCACCTTGACACCCTCACGTCCATACATCACCTCAGAGTCCTGAAAAGGCTTCACTTTCCACATGTGTGCTCAGAGGAGGCGCCCTGCTTCCCTCTGCAAACCCACTCAGTCTAATTCTGGAGTGTCTTGGAGCAGAAGTGTTCCCTGGCAGGCGGAGTCTGCTCAGTGGCCCCACACAGACTCTCCCCAAGAAGGACGTGACCCCACAGGTGCCATCAGCTGTGCGGGCAGAGACCCCCAGCCTGATGGTGCCCTTTGCCAGGCCAAAGCATGTGGCAGGGAAGGCCATTCCTTCCAGGAAGGCTCTTGTGAGAACCCTACCATCATCTTTAGAGCAGAAGTTCTTAACCTTTTGGGAGTCACCACGTGAAGAATCCAATGTAAGCTATTCATCTTTCCCTCAGAAAAATGCAAATTTTATACAGCATTTTGCATCTAGTTCCAAAGGAGCCATAGATCCCAGGGGAATACTCCTGGAGCTCTGGGGGGCCCCTCCTGTACTCCCAGAGTTCTGCAGAACAATTTGAAAACCATGCCATGGATTCGAGGGGTTTCTATCCTCCACTATGGAGAATCGCTAAAACTGGAATACCAGTTAGTGGATTTCTGGTGTACATTTCTGGGCTAACATTCAGATCCCATGTTTGTATGGATTTACATGGCAGAAACATGTGAGGTGGTCTCCCTCAGCATCCATCTAACACAGAATCGAGCAATACATTTTTTCCTGTGAATGATTAAACAAAGGAAAGAACAAGCCAGTGCTCAAACTTCCATTTTTCCTGTTGTTTCTTCCCAACTAGTTAGGTTATCTCAGGGTCACCTGTACTCCCTTGGAAATTCTCTCTGCCAGTTGTTAATGTTTATTCTGTTTTGTTGACAATTTTTGTGTTTGAGCATCTGTTCCTTCCTGTTCCCTTATTCAGTGTGAAGTCAGCATCCCTCACATGTTTTAATGCCTATAAGCTTATAAGCTCTAAAATGCATATGATTTCTTAACTTTTAAAATCTAAATTAAGTGGCAATGCCAAAAGAATTATATGGATTGCTTTTATTCTTTGAAAGGGAAAAAGCTGCAGTAACCAGCCAGCTGTTCCTGTTTGAGGAACTATTTTGGTACTTGAGGTTTCTGTGGTATTGGTCCAGGTGGCTGTGACAGAAATGAGGGCTGGCCCAGCTATGTGAAGTCTTGGTGAAGGCCTCAAGGTCACTGCAAGACTAGGCATTAGTATTACCAGGGCGTCTGGCGTTTTTCAGTCAGATTACTCTGATGGGCGAATTCTGAAATTGCATACCTATTGTACATGTTCACAGCAGTTGCTAGGGGTTTGGACCCACTGTTGTCAATATGGGGTGTGGATTCCATTTGTACAAGGCAAATTTAATATTCATTGCTGTATATCCCAGGATAAAAGTCAGTGTGTTATATGGGTAATCAAAGCCTCCCTCTTCACCCTATAGCCTCAGAGTCATCAGGGGACCACCAGGTTCCAAAGCCTCTTTGGAAAACCATTAACCCAGAGCAGTGGACCCTGCCTAGAGTGTGTGTATGGCTTGCCTGGGAGCTTCTCTAACCTGCTGATGCCAGGCCTCCATCTGTGAAAAAGCCCTGGGGGATGGTGAGCACCCCCCAAACCAGGAATCAGCGATTCAGAGCAGCGGTTCCTAAACTGCAGTCCACAAGCTAGTACCGGCCGTTCCATGAGGAACAAGACGTGACTGCCCCAATGGTCAGCCCTCAGCTCTTTGCCACCACTTCCTTCTCAGAGCTGAGGGCAGTGCTGGGATACAGGTGAAGGTTGTCCATCACTGCACCTACTCTCTGCTCAGTTTGCCTGGAAAATGTAGATAGATGTAGTCATTTTTCAATATCTATGTCAAGTTTGGTTTTTTGCCAATGACTAAGATTTAAAAGAAAGTATCAGAATTTGGGGATGTTTAATTTTATTTTAGATTATAGACAAATTGATAAATTTGTGATGAGAAAAAAATTGCATACATATTATAAAATAGTATGTTGTAGTTTTTTGCACAGAGTATTTAAATATATCCCTTAAACAATGAGTTAGCATAAGGTTGCCTGTTATCCTTTCTTAGGAAGGACTTTCTTCCATTCTGAGCTTATGCTATCCCCCTCTTTTAGTCATTCATGAGACAATATTAAAGGTATATTGCAACTGTTTTGTTTTGAATAAAATGAGAAACAACCTGATGTAGCCTCCCTGGTTGTATTATTTTATTTCACTCATTCGTGAAAGCCAAAGTCTGGGTCCCCAATCTGGAAGACAGGAGTAGACTCAATCAAAGAATAGTCAGGTTTAAACCTGCTCTTGCCTCAGCTTTGGCAAATCATTCCACTCCTCAGGGTCTCAGTCTCCTCACCTAGGAATGAGGCCTGACCAAGGTCATCTGTGCAGTTCCAGCCCCGATGCTGACACACGGTGGTAAAGAGAGGAAGTGAGCAGCAGACCAAGTAGAGGTTTTGACAGGCAGTCTTTGCAGCACGGCGCCAACATCGCCCACATTACCATCTGGGCCTGCCTTTGCTGGCACCTAAACCTGTTTTCAGTTGATTGTTTTGAGTTAGATCCTAGTTTATTGATTGAAAATATTCAGTAGCATCACTGCACCATACTTAAACACACTGCGCTCTTGTCCCTTTTCTCTGGATGGCACAACAAAGGGAGGAGGATGGCAGCTTAAGTGCTCAGTGTACTCATCTGCCTCCCCTGCCCACCGCTGGGCCCCCTTTCGTGGGACATGGCCTCGTCCATCATGATCACCCCCATGCCCTGCAGTGGGCCCTGGATTTGGAAAAAATATATTCCTGGCCACCACTAGCTAGATGCTTGCTTTTCATCATTTTCCCATGTCATTGGGCAGCAGAACCTGCTGCAGTGCTGGCAGGAGCCAGGCTGTGGCTTGAGAAGATGAGGCCTAGGAACATTAATTGGCTCCCATTTGGACTGAAGGGTGATCCTGACCTTGTCACAGAGTAAACAAACTAGACAGGAGCAAAAGACCCAGATCCACTTGGCCATTGTAAGGGGGGCCTGTTATAACTATTAGAAAAAAAAAGTTAAATTACATGGCAGTATGTATCATTCTAATTTTTTACTAAGCTTTGAACCTTACCCAGTTGCTTTTTCCTCTTGTACATTAGATAGACTTAGGAAATGGCCTTGAGCTCCCTAAATTTAATCACATGTATTTTTTTTCTACTTTTGTGTGTTCCAATGCTTTTATTAAGGTTGCCATTATTTCACATTTCTATCTGTCCAAGTTGATGTCACCACCTCTCTGAGGAGATCTGAGGAATGTTCTCTCCATTCTGTAGGTACTAGCTTCCAAAGAAAGCTGGGTTTCGGTGAATAGAAACTGCACTCCTCCCCACATAGCAGGGAGGCACTTTGGGTGACTCAATAGAGTGGACGCAGTCCAAGGCCCTACCTCAAAGTACTGGCTGCAGGATGAGGCAGTTGGGAAGGGATGATGCTCCTTCCATCTCCCTTCACTGGGGTGGCAGATGAGAGGAGAAGGCTTGGGTGCGAGTAATCAACCAGTGAAAAAGCCAGCCCAGGGCTCAGTGTGGTTATTTCGAGTGATGCCCGTCAGAAACACTGCAGAACGAAAGCTGTGCCAACAGAGGCACTGTGAGTGCCGCCGCAGAGCAGGCTGCCTGGTGAGCCCCCAGCTCCTGCCCCCAGGTTATGCCCCACATGGTCCGCTAACGAGCAACAGAGACCTCACAAACCTGCAGGTCCTAAGCCACCAGCAGTGTGGCCAGTGGGTGGCCTCTGTCCTGCAGGCTGCGCTCTTTGATACATGTGTTTGATGTCTATCCTGCACAGAGGCTCTCTCCCTTCCCTGGAGACCCCCACAGCTTCCCTTTAACTCTGGTAAGTGCTAGCTTCCCACCCAGAGTCAGGCTTAAAAGGGAAGAGAATTGTACATTCCTCCTCAGCTTCCTGAGAGCTTATCTTTGTATGGGAGTCATTTCCATTCCCATCCTGACCTTAGTAGTGTCTTCTCATTGCTTTATTGACCTTGTGCTCGATTTATGCTTTGGCATTTTGTCCTTAAACATGTTTTTAGGACATGAACACATACTTGCAAACCATTGCAGGGGAGGAAAATCATGTAGCTATAGAAGAAGGCATTGAAAACAGATTTAATTCCTTAAGCCTTTGGCTAAGAAAATTGGCAGAGCTAATGCTTGGTATGGTCAGCAGTGACGTGGAGTGATTTCTTGTGCACACCACAGGTGATTCTGCTGCGGTTGGGAGTTCAGGCTTCACTGTCTGGTTGCACCCTGCACCCTGGCTGCCCTGACTCTGAGTCTTCCACCGACCCATTTGTTCCATCTAGACTTGCCTGAGGATGACATGACCCAAATGAATCCAAAATCCCATAGAGGAGGCTGGTGGTAGGGAGGCAGTTCCCAGCAGGAGGAGGCGATAAAGAGCAGACAAAAGCAACTGGCACCCACTGCATCTGGCCAACTCTGGATTGTATGCCTCTAGGTGAATGGTGCTCGATGTGGATCTCAAGTGTCTTGCTCATTGCTCCCTACTCCAGGGTCCTGCCTACTCAGATGTAGGTTTCTTCAGGGAACAGGAGGAGTTCGGGGGAGCAGTGGAAACACCAACCTGAAAATGATATGTGTACACTCATCATTTACACTGACATCTTTCAGATAATCTATCAGATGGAAGGGTCTAGATGAGTGTGTGTACATAGAGACCATGAATGTCATAATCTGTGAGGTAGAAATGATTGGCTGCTCAGAGCAGAGCAGCAGGAGACCAGATGAGTTCCAGTGCATGTGACAGCACTGTATTGACTGACAAGTGACATCAGACTGCAAGGCACTTGTTTGTCCACAGTGCCACAGACAGAAGAGTGATGGCTGTAGAGCTTCCCAAGGTGACAGAAAGGCTGTCTGCTCTGTCCAGAGCTGTCTTCAGACTCTAGATGCAACTAGCAAGACAAAGGAACTGTCTTGTTATTTTTTAATTTTTTACTTAAATTATCTAGACTTGGACAGCTACATGTGGCTCGTGGCTCCTGCAGGGCAGAGGAGATATAGATTTCCATGTCCATCTTTTCATTTACAGTATGATGGCAATCTTATATGCAAGTTCATGAAGCCAAATCTTAGGACACAAGGTTCCTCTGGGGACTGAGATTTCCAGCACTTTGAGGCTGAGGGGAGTAGTCTGCCCAGCACTCTGACTTCTCCAGGGGCTGAGCAGCTGCTTGGTGACCACAATTGACAGCACAGCACATGCCCACAGTAGGCATCACTCATTTTTCCTGCTTGGTAAAATGTAGTGTCTTAAGGTCTCCTTTTTCTTTAGTATAGACATGGGCATGGCATGAGAATGCCTCTGCAAGGCCTCATATTCACACATAAAGCAAAGAGGTCCTGGCCACGAGGCAGTGTATGGGGCAGAGGCTCTACCCCTGGTGAGCTGCAGTCTGTAGTGTGCCATTAAGGACATGTACTGGGCACTCTTGTGCACTGAGCCCTATCCTGGAAACGCTTTAGATAGAACATGCTGTCTACTCCCAAGGGCAACTCCAAAGGGTATAAGTGGAGGCCCACTCTGCAGGGGCATCAGCTCTTAGGTGGCAGCTGTGATGCACAAACCAGTGCCCCCATAGCTCTCACTGTGCTATACTGAGCCTGTGTGGATGGTGGGAGAAGGGAAACAAGAGGGGAGAATTAAGGATGCCTTCTTTGTTTTCAGCCTGAGCATCTGGGCACTTGGCAATGCCTTTTGCTGAGACAGACGTGAATGGAGACAGCTAAGGGTACCCTTTTGTGCAGGTTAATTTGTAGATGTTGGTTGTCTTGTTCAGGTTCCTAACAGGAAATAGAGGGCCTGTGCAACTGAGGACTAATTACAAAGGAGGAAGCTAGGGCCATGACCTACTGGTGGAGCCCCACCTGAGGCTCAGAGCAAGTGGGCTGCATTTCTACATGATGCATGGGCACGGGAGCCTGAATGAGAACGTGCAGCCCACCTCAGAGCTGTAAGGCGAGAGACCAGGCTAGAGAGGGCCTCTAAGGAGAAATGTTGGCTCCTGTGGAACCCATGTGGTAGGCAGATGTAATTGTCCCCTTGTCTGCAATTCTGGGGAGGACTGGCTGGGTACAGATCTGGGAGGTGTTAGCTGTAGGTAACATCTGGCACTGGGCGTCCAGTGAAGCTGTCTGCTCATGGGAGAGCTAAACCAAGTCTTGGGCCCTGCACCCTGGCCAGCTCTCCTTGTGCTCTGTCGTCTTGTCCTTGGCCTTCTGTTCTTCAGTTAAAGTTAAAGCAGAATTTTGCTTTATGTTCTAAAATCTGTTTCCCAGTTCTTCATTCTTTTATTTCCTTGCCCAGCTCGCTCGCACTCCCTGGTGCTTTTCTAAGACTCTTACAAGGAGGTGTCGCTCTGTGTTCTCTAAATGCTGCTGAGTAAGTAGGCTAGCAGAGAGATGGAGAAGCAGGTGGTCTTTAATAGACTGTGCCTCCTGTGACCCCAAGAAATCATAATGAAATCTCATTACTGTGTCTGCTTTGCCTTTGATGGGACCAGAATCAGTTTGAAGCACCTGGCTTGAGATCTTGGCACATTTTCTCAGGCTGAGCTCCTGCCCACCACAGGTTCATTGCAGAGGAGGCTGCGGCTGCTGGGGCCAAGTGTGTGCTCACCTCCAGCCCCACCTGGATTGTGGACCCCATTGATGGCACCTGCAACTTTGTGCACAGGTAAGCATTAGTTCAGGCAGGGCACCCCCGTTCTAGTGCCCAAACTGTTCTCTAAGACTGTCTTTTCCAAAGCAGGAATATGTAAGCAGACATCTAGTAGGTTTCTAGTCTCATTAAAATGGTGGTCAAGTCTCAATATTTTTAAAATAAGGATTTCTGTTTGTGAGATGCTCTCAGAGCTTGTAGTCAATCACTTGTTTAAAAACTACTGTGTTTGTTATGCTTAAAATGTTGGGTTGAATTAAGAAGGACCCTTTCAGGAGGACCCCTGGAGAAATAAGCAGTTATTAAAAAAAAAAGAAAAGTGTGTGTGGTCCGGCAGCCTCAGGAGAACGAGGTATAGACAGCAGCCCCTGAAGGGTGATGTTCCGGAGCCTCCGTGAATGGGTGTGAACCTTATGTCCCCATGAGATGGGGTGAGGAGCCCAGAAGCAGCTGGCTAGACTAATCTGACCGACAAATAAAAGCCAAAAGGCAGTGGTTTTGGGGAAGTCTGAGAGGTTTTTGGGGGACGGGAAGCGAGCTGCCGAGCTCGGGAGGTGACAGGGTTGTGGCCTCAGCCCCAGTTGCTCTGAGTAGTTGTGGGGGAGCATCGGAGCTGCTCAAGGACCCAAGCGAAAGTGACGTGCTGTCCACAGAGGGTGGTTCTCTGCAGTGAGCACATGTAGGGCTGCCTGGAGAGCCAGTTGGCACAGGTTCCTGGCCCTTCCTCAGGCTCGCATGCATTAGGTTGGGTGAGCCCAGCATCTACATCCTCGAGCTCACAGGCAAGGCCAGCACTGGGTTGACTGGGAACCACTCCATATCCTTGCTTCATGTGAGGGGTGGGAGCACAGCCCGGCTGGAGGGTCTTCACTCTGGCTCTGTCCTTCATGTTTCCCTCAAGAAAACTGTGTAAAGTAACCCCATGCGTCGTGTTAATCATCACCCTTTCTTAATGTGGGTCTCCTTGAGAATTCAGTCTGTCGTTGGTCATACAGGTGGACCTTTTGAGGCAGTGGAGTAGTATCATCTGGTGACAACAGTGTCACCAGACTATAATTTTAACTTAAGTGTGACATCCCCCTCAGGTATGCCTCGCTGCATGGAACCCCTGTTCGCCTGTCTTGCTGGTCATTCCAGTGTGCTGGTAATGGGGACAGGGTGGGCTGAGCCCTGCCATGTGATGCAGGCCTCATGTCCACCTGAAGGCCTTTTGTGGGCCCCAGCGGCCCCAGGGCCGATGGGAATGTGGGGCCAGCGAGATGACTTAGGAAGAAGTGTCACTTGGACAGCGTGTCTAGCGCAGACCCACACAGCCCAGAAGCCACCGTGGGGCCACAGCCATGGTGCCTCTCGTGGCCTAAAGGCCCCAATGCCCTGGCTGCTATAGCTCAGCTAGGGACAAGGCCTGCTCATTCTGCACCCCACAACGTCAGGACTGACGCAGGCAGGAAGGAGCTCTTTTGAGAGCTGGAAGGGGGTGAACCAGGGGGCGTGCCTTCCTGGTGCCAAGAAGCAAGGTAACGGAGAGCGTGGCCACAGCCAGGTCAGGCTCAGCCCTGGGCCCAGTGTTCTAGCTTTCCCGTGAGTTAGATGTACCCAGTTTTCTTGGTTCCTGCTTGATGAAGCTCTGAAGATCTTCACAGAAAGGAGAGATTATTTTGAAGATTTAGAACAGCAACAGTGAATCACAAATTAAAACTGCAGGCAAACTGCAACATTACAACCCACCTCCAGCGGGTGGCAGTGACCCCCATTTGCTTTTGGCTGGCTGGATGCTCACACCGGAGAGAGTGAGGAGGGATGTCATTGTCGCAGGACCTGGGCTCTGGGTGGAGGCTGTAGCCTGGGGTCTGCGATGTCGCCTCCTGGGGGCCTCTCCTTACCCTGTGTAGGCCGTAGGTGTGGCCTGTTTGGAGGTCTCTGCTGTCCCCTTAGGTCTCTGAGAACCAGAGTGCACATGATTAAAGTCTCTCACAATTGGGTACTCAATGGGCATTATCAAACTATATCAATCTTTCGTGACTTTAGAATGCTGTTCTCTTTCAAGGTCACCTATCTTACAACGCGGTCAGCTAAGCCTGTTTGTCTTGGAATCAGTTAGTGAAATTGTGGGAAATAGTTTAAAAAAAACAAACACACCCACACTGTATAAACGTCCTTCTGTGCCCCAAGTACCATTGCTGCAGAGGCACACAGAGGCCCCTGAGAGTTCACATGTTGGTTTGTGTGAGACCATTTATGTTTTAGCATGTCAACCATTCTGTTTTCCTTTGCAGGTTTCCAACCGTGGCAGTAAGCATTGGATTTGCCGTGAACCAAGAGGTGTGTTGTGGGTGGGCCCCCAGCTGGCAAGCCCAAGCCCTTGGGTTTCATTTTGTCATCTTCCTTCTCGATTTACACCACTGCACTCCTGTTTTTCTCTTTGTCATGTACCTCAACCATGATTAGTAAATACAAGCATGTGTTTTTCCAATGCAAAAAAGTAAACAAATAGAAACTGATTTTGGGGTATCTAGGCCTGGGATTCCCTGTGGTGGCTGACCCCCTTTTCCACCATGCCCTCTGTGCGATGCTGCTGTGGAAGGCGTGAAAAGGATAGTTCTGAGCAAGTTAGTCTCCATCTGACCCCTGGGGCATGTGATCAAGTCACACACAAAAGAAAGTCCTATTTTTGGAGGACATTGTTAATCCCAATATTCTATTAATTCTTCATCTTCGTCTAGCTATTAGTATGAGAATATGGCTGTTTCAGAGTTCCCATGGACCTTTAGAACTAAATAACATCATGGGATCTGCACAAAAGGCATGGGACCCAGGCTTAAACTTTTTAAATCAATGTAAGCAATAACACTTAGGAAAAGCCCCAATTTCTTTGTAGTTACTGCTATTAAATTTAAGTAGGACTGGGGCTCAGTGTTTTTCAAAAGCAGCTCTCCATTCGAATACTGTTTTCTCATCTTAGTCCTCAGTGTTAGTATGGATCCCAGCATGGAAACTGAAAGAAGTTTATGACTGTGTTAAAGTACTTCAGTTGAAGATAAGCAAGAATTATAATATTGAAATCTGGTTAAGGAGTTATTTTATTAATTTGTTTCTCTGTTAAATGTTGTCACTGAGCATTAAGCCCAGTGGGTGATGCTCATAACTGCTTGTCAGTAAGTGGGGGGCCAAAACGCAGCAAGCCTGCAAATTTGCTGACTGGTGAGGCCCTAAGCCCATGACTGGTTGGCGTGTGTGGCTGTGCACAGGTGGCCTGGCCTTGTGGTGAGAGCCCCTGGTCAGGGAGCATCCCACCCTCCTGCCAGCAAAGGCCTCCAGGCTGCCTACCACCCCACCCCAGGTGCTCAGAGCCCAGCCCCGTTCTGGCAGACCCTGATTTGGGAAGCCCTTTAAAGTCAGTCTGACAGGAAGGAGGAGGATGGTTAGACATTGCTGGGAGGCTGTAGGCTATCCATAGGCTGACTGAATGGTCTTCCCCAGATATAAGCCATTTTCCTACAGGTCAGAGTGTCCATTCCACTGTGGCTGAGCCAGCCAAGACTTTCCTGAGGCTTTTGGCCTGTGTCTCTCTTCACTTCCCAGAGGGATTAGCATTTGGCCAGCCCCGAGACCAAGCACACCTGCTGTCCTTAGGGGGAAGCTGGTGGAGGAAAGGAACAAGAGTGGGTGTGAGGGAGCATTTCTTCCATACTCACCTCTTCTTTTCACTGCTTCTTACTGGGAGTCTGTTGTCTGAGGCCTTTTGACACTTGCTTGATGTGGTGTGGCTGCTACAAGCACCCTGCCTGCTCAGGAGTGCGCCCCACTTTGGTGGATCAATTCCTGCTTCCTGGAGTTGCCCTTGGGCTCTGTGATTCTGCCGGCTTTGCAGATGCATTCTGAATTCTTCACATGCCAGCAGTGTTGAGGGTTTCTGGTGGGGTTTGATTAGAGTAGCCTTTTTTCCTCCCAGAAAAAAGAGGCTTTTCTAAAGAATTAAGCTTTATCCAATATGGCAGTTCCTCAAAAAACTAAAAATAGAAATACCATTTGACCCAGGAATTCCACTTCTAGGAATTTACCCAAAGAAAACAAGATCCTGATCCAAAAAAGACATACTCACCCCTATGTTTATTGCTGCACTATTTACAATAGCCAAGATATGGAAGCAACCTAATGGTCCATCAATAGATGAATGGATAAAGAAGATGTCATACATAGACACAATAGAATATTATTCAGCCATAAAAAGAAAAGAAATCCTCCCATTTGCAACAACTGGATGGGTCTAGAGGGTATTATGCTCAGTGAAATAAGCCAGGCGGAGAAAGACAAATACCAGATGATGTCACTCATTCGTGGAGTATAAAAGCAAAGCAAAACAGAAGGAACAAAATAGGAGTAGACTCATAGACACTGAGAAAGAACTAGTGGTTATCAAAAGGGAGGGGCGGATGGGGGTATGGGGAAGGAGAAGGGGATTGAGGGGCACAATGATTCACAGTCACAATATAGGTTTTCATGGGGACAGTGGTAGAGCATGGACAATACAGTTAATGACTCTGTAACTTTTTACTACATTGATGGACAGTGACCTCACTGGGGTTGGGGGTGAGGGCTTGATAATATGGGAGAATGTTGAACCACTGTGTTATATATTTGAAACCATCATAACATTGTATATCAGTGATACTTTAATTAAAAAAAAGAATTTAGCTTTTTCAATAACCTTTCTTTATGAATGCTTGACAATGATGTTAATTTTTAATACAGCTTTATTAGTTTTAGTATGTTTAAGAATGGTTGTTTTAAAAAAGAAAGTTTGCTTTCATGTCTAGGTCTAGTTTTGAATCTGACACTAATTGTTTTTAGTCCCCTTTTGGAAGGTAGTTTCTATTCCACTATCACAGCATTAGTTTGTAACACCTAGAATGCATTAGCTTTTGAATGACTGTGTTATTTTCTGTGTCAACAACAAGTGAACCACATTTGCTTTCTGTCCTGTCCCCACATCCCACAGCTGGAGTTTGGAGTGATTTACCACTGCACAGAAGAGCGGCTGTACACGGGCCGGAGGGGCCGGGGAGCCTTCTGCAATGGCCAGCGACTCCGGGTCTCCAGGGAGACAGGTGGGGCTTTACGGCTCATCTCAGATCCCTCCAATTTGAGACATGTGAATCAAAAATGCCAAAAATCCCCATCCTGTGAGATGGCAGTAGAAATCTGCTGAGGGTTCAGTTTCTTCAGGGACATTATGTCCCTGATGAACTGGAAGTCAAACCAGTTCTGTATCTTAATGTTTTTATGAATGTGGCCAGGAGCTTTAAATAGTCTTGTTCTATTTACACTCACATCTTTCATCTTTAGTGCTAAAAGAAATCAGTCACCACGTATGATATGATCTCTAGTGGGAATGGTGCGCAGTATGAGGCCAAGGGCAGAGTCAGAAGGATGCTCCAGCTCTCAGAGTGTTCAGGAAAATGTCTATCATCCTGATGTCACCCAGATGGTGTCCCCAGGGTACAGTCCATGGCTCCCTGGATGGGGATAATTGCGGTTGGCTTCAATTTCTGTGAGAAGACAGATGGCATAGGAATGAGTCATGTAAACAAGTGATGTTTTCATACACCACAGATGTACCACTGTCATCGTTATTCCTAAAACAGAACCTCAAGGCCATCCAGTAGCTTTTATAAGGGGGTTGAGGTTGCACTCAAACTGTGTGTCACCACATGTCATTAACATGCAAGGTTAGGTTTTTCACTGACTCTTCTTGGCCTTTCCTCCACACTGATTAAACTAGTAATGTTTTATCACACTGTAGGACTCGTGCTGTAGGGGACAGAGAAGTGCAAGACAGAAATAAAAGAGCCACAGACTAGAAGCAGCTGGACTAGGAAAAGACTAAAACCCCCTAATGTCCACTGAGGAGGCAGAAGCACAGTGCTAGCTGCTCACCTGCCTGTTGCTGCAGCGGGCGTCACAAAGGGTCCTCCCAGGGCTGCGGCCTGCAGTGCCAGCACCTCCTGCTGAGCTCCTACCACCTGCCTTCCTCCCTCCATACCCATTTCCAGCCTTTCATTTAAAACCCTTTCCTGGCTGGCACCCTTTCTTCATTGTCTCTATTTATTCTGCCTCTTCTTCCTCCCTGGGCAGCACCCGTGTGCCTAGATGGCCTCAGAGACAATGAGAATGAGGTGTGTCGCTGCTCCTTATCCATTGAGAACAGGCTCCCAGCCGAGACCCCGGGGCCCTGGGTTCCTGGAGCTGGCAGCCTGCCTGACCTCCAGGACACTGAGAAGGTGCGCTCTGAGGCTGTGAGAGTCAGGAGCACCCCAGGCTGAGGGGAAGGGGCAAGGGTCACTGCAGGCTGAGGGGAAGAGGCTTCAGACAGAGGTGGGACCAGCAGGACCAGTTACTGCTTCTGAGTCCTAGAGAGATTCCAGAACAGTTCCTGCCCCGCCCCTTTTCTCCCTCTCCCAGAAATGTTTTTTTTGGCTATGTAAAGTGTCAAGTTAATTGCAACTACACATGCCAAGAGGTAGCCACTCAAGTGCAGTTGTGTAAGTCGGCAGTAAGGAAGCATGTTATTAAACAGGCTGAGATGAACTTTGCCCTATATTTCATTTGACTGTAATACGCAACTATCCACACACACACTGAGCTTCCTGGTGAGCTGGCTGTGTGGCTTTGTCATGCGTGAGGACCTCACATCCTCGTGAGGCTCTCAACTATCTGTTTTTTCTAGGCTATTGTTTGTTGGTTCGCTATTATCAGTAATGCTAAACTTAGCTTGTAACCTCTTCTTCCCCCTCTTCAGATATTCCAGTATATGATTAAAAAATGACATCCTTTTACTTTCAGTAACTGCATACAAGGTAACTGGCAAGCTTACTCTGGTAGCCACAGCATCTCCCCACTGTCTTTCCCCTTTGGGGTGCTTGTGCTGTGTGCGCATTGGCAGAGCAGCCAGAAGTCATTGTGTGCCGTGCTTCACCTGAAAACTCATGGAAAATTTATTATTGGTTCCCCAGATAAACATAGTTTTAATACCCACCAACCAGTCCTTTATGTTGATGTTTCTACAGTTGTTTTGGTTTGTGAAGTTCATTCATTAGTACATTTCTCAAACTTTTTGATTGTAGGACCAACTGGCTTATATTTCTGAAAAAATTATTTTAAGCCCAAAAAGCTTTTGTTTATGTAAGTTGTATCTATTGATGTTCATGTATTAGAAATTTAAACAGTGTTTTTAAAATACTTTATTTTCAAAATAAAAAACTTATTAGCACATTAACATGAATAGTATGTTTTTACAGGAGACAGCCATATTTTCTGAAACAACATTTTTTTTGTTTGTGAAAACTGGCATTGTTTTGTGTTTTTTCCATCTTTTTAATATCTGGCCTAAGAGAAGACAACTGGATTCTTATATCTGCTTTTGTATTCACCTGTTATAATGTATTGTTTTGATGTGTGAAGAAAATATGACCTTACACAGATAAGTTGGAATAGGGAGGAGTGAAGAATATTTTAATAGACTTATCAGATAATCAAGGATATTCTTCTTTGATGCCAAGACTCAAGAAGTGGTAGTTACTTAAAGGTTAGTTGCAATGTGAAATCTAATAACACATCAATGAATTTGTTTGGATTCAGTTACATTGAATTCCATTAGGCTGTCTCTTACTTTGAATGGATCTTTTACTCATGAATGACTTTGCAACATCACGCACTGGTCACTTGGAAAACATAGGGTTAGTGAGTTTTCAGGGTTCTTTCAAATACTGACATATTTCATCTTAAAATACTAAAAAAAAATCCTGTTCATTAATATCACCACTCTTCTTATGAGAAATCGTTAGTGTGGGAAGCTGTTAGGTCTCTCCAGATTCTGTCTTCCCAAATTCTGATTTACATTTGAGGAAAGCTTGAATCTTATTTTTGGCAACCTTAGCAATTGAAGTAATGGGCTCACTTCTTTCATTGAAAATGTCTTCCAAATACCCAGCTCTGAATAATAACTACAGTTGACCCTTGAGCAAAACTTATTTGAACTACACAGGTCCACGTATATACATTTTTTTTCAATAAATACGTTGGAACGTTTTGACAATTTGAAAAAAAATTTCCTTTCCTCTAGTTTATTTAATTGTAGGAATACAGCATATAATATGTATAGTCTACAAAAATATGTGTTAATTGACGTTTATTTTAGTGGTAAAGCTTCTGGTCAGCAGTAGGCTAAGAGTAGTTAAGTTTTGGGGTAACCCCCACATTGTTCAAGGGTCAGCCGTATAGTTTAACTTTTCCATGTGTACTTCCCTTTTCATCACACAGAAAATTCAAAAGACATGTACTTAGAGCTCAGGATTATGTACAATTAATAATTTTTATAGCTTCTTCATTCTTAAGGAAAACTGACATTTTCCCCCAGTGTGTGACTGTGGGAAAGCAGAGAAGACTGCAGTGATGACTGAAGCAGGCAGCGCCTGCCTTGTTTGGTCTATGCATCCTGTGTTAACAGTTAAAAAGGCAGAAATAACATCTTAGTATTATTATGAAAATCACTCTAGCTCCACAGATTCCTGAGAGAAACGCTCAGGGACCACACTTTAAGAACTTCTACTCCAGTTGGTTTCATAGGATAGGTTCATGGGAACAGTATTCTCTGAGTTCTTACATGTTCAGTGGCCCTTCTGTTTGAAAATCCATTTTTCTGGTAAAAAAACATATGACTCACATTTTCTTGTTCTGAATGAAACTTCTCCATCATCATCTAGCATAAGCTTGTTGTTGAAAAGTCTGAAAGCAGTTTGATTTTCTTTCCCTTGTAGACACTTTAGTTTTTTGTATGAATGCCCAAAGGATTTTCTTTTTCTTTAGAATACAATTATTTATTTATTTATTTATTTATTTTTTAGAGGGCATCTCTCATATTTATTGATCATATGGTTGTTAACAACAATAAAATTCTGTAGAATATAATTATTTTAATAGAGTCTATCTCTCAGTCAGCTTTCCCAGGCATATCATGGTACACCTTTTCAATATGTAACTTCAGGTTTTTTTTTTTAATTCCAGAAGAGTTTTCTATAAATATAGTTTTAGTATTTGTTCATTTCCAAATTCTGTTGCTCTATTTTTTGTCTTGTTGGTCTACTATTATATGTATGTTGTGTCTTCCCTGCTTACCTTATCTATATATCCCTTTCTCTGTAGTCTGTTTTACCTTTTCCATCAATTTTTTTATTTTTGAAATTTTCCTCCTTTTCATCCTCCATTTCTTGTAAAGTATAATCTTTTATGCTTCATTCTTTTTCTTTTAGTTTAACCTTCTCTTAAATGCTTTCCTTTCTAATTCTTTCCTAAGTTCTGTTCCCTCTACTTTTGAGCTACACTGTCCACATATTCTTTATTCTTTTACATAAAGCTAATTCTGTTTTGTGGATAAATCTTTCTGGCAATCTTTGATTGGAGAGATGTGATTCTCCTTATTCTCTTTTTTCTTATGATAATTGTATGTGGGATTCAACCATCCTTCTTTTTAATTACTTGTTTCCACTTGAAACCTATACTCCTTTTTGTCTGGAGGTGGGGGCAGGGGCTCAAATTAGGAACATTTTCAGTAGCTTCATAGCTCTGGAGCTCCCTCTTCTGTTGTTCTTGTGAAGTGTTCAAAAAAATAGGTAAAAATTGGTCTTGTCCTTAGATTTTTTTTGGCTCTGTTCCCCACCTTCACTGTTATCTGGACTTTTTCTTTCCTTTTCTGTCTAGTGAATTTGGAATTCACTCCTATCCGTGTCTACTCAGCTGAGTGCTGGCCTAAGAGGTCCTAGTAAGCCATTATGAGAGGTCATAGGGCTGGTGGGTCCCTCCATACCATGCTCTTAGTCAAATGCTTATTACATTTATGATACATTTATTATTCCATCCCTCTGTTATATTTAAGATTACTGTACATATGTGATACATTTATTATTCTATTTCTCTGTAACTGAATTACCCTCTTTGATTTACTATCTCACTGCCCTTCTTTCACAGAGGGGAAACCAAGCCTAGGGAAGTGACCCATATGAGTGCAAGTAGCCCACAAGGGATCACTTGAGTTGATGAGTGCCTTATCAGG